AACTCTCCATACAGTGCAAAGTTAAAAAAAAATCTCTCCGCGCAGTGACTATCACGTGCGTTACACGAATTTTGCATTTATTGTATTTTTATTAGTGTATGAATTTTAATTTTTTGGAAAGTTTTTGAAGTAATATCTAGTGTCCTCACAAAGTGCGGAGTAAAAAAAGCAAAAAAAGAAAAACTTCGTGTAATGCAGAGAGTTGGCAAACTCTCCATACAGTGCAAAGTTAAAAAAAAATCTCTCCGCCCAGTGACTATCACATGCGTTACACGAATTTTGCATTTATTGTATTTTTATTAGTGTATGAATTTTAATTTTTTGGAAAGTTTTTGAAGTAATATCTAGAAATATTTTCATGATATAATAAAATAATTACAAATTATTTTTATAATTGCATGACAGTATTGTGTCATCTAAAATAATATACTTATATATTTTATACTTGAATAAGAATGAAATATACGAGATTATACAAATTATTTTGCTTGTATTCTTTGCACGAATTTTGCATTTATTGTATTTTTATTAGTGTATGAATTTTAGTTTTTTGAAAAGTGTTTGAAGCAGTATTTAGAAATATTTTCATGATATAAGAAAATAATTGCAAATTATTTTTACAATTGCATGACAGTATTGTGTAATCTAAAAAAATATACTTATATATTTCATACTTGAATAAAAATGAAATATACGAGATTATACAAATTATTTTGCTTGTATTCTTTGATAGTGTTGATATAATTGAGTTGAATGTAAAGATTATATTTCTAAATTTTATGTAATTCAATATTGAAAAATTGAAGATTGAGCACCATGTTCATATACATTTATATTTTTTGTTTCATATATATTTAATATTTATTTTATGCTTATGTTGGAAAAATAAAATCTGGAAATTTTTTTGAAATTCGGTTTTGTAAGTGAATGTACGGTATTTTGCATTCTCGGTATTTGTAAGTGCAAAAATCGGTATATAAAAATACAGCAAGCTGCAAATACGTTAAGCAACATATACGGTAAGTTGTAAATACGGTAAACTACAAATACGGTAAGGTGAAAATACGGTAAATTGTTTGCAAATACGGTAGACTACAAATACAGTTAGGCAACATATACGGTAAGGTGAAAATACAGTAAGTTGAAATATACTTATATATTTTATACTTGAATAAGAATGAAATATACGAGATTATACAAATTATTTTGCTTGTATTCTTTGCACGAATTTTGCATTTATTGTATTTTTATTAGTGTATGAATTTTAGTTTTTTGAAAAGTTTTTGAAGCAGTATTTAGAAATATTTTCATGATATAAGAAAATAATTGCAAATTATTTTTACAATTGCATGACAGTATTGTGTAATCTAAAAAAATATACTTATATATTTCATACTTGAATAAAAATGAAATATACGAGATTATACAAATTATTTTGCTTGTATTCTTTGATAGTGTTGATATAATTGAGTTGAATGTAAAGATTATATTTCTAAATTTTATGTAATTCAATATTGAAAAATTGAAGATTGAGCACCATGTTCATATACATTTATATTTTTTGTTTCATATATATTTAATATTTATTTTATGCTTATGTTGGAAAAATAAAATCTGGAAATTTTTTTGAAATTCGATTTTGTAAGTGAATGTACGGTATTTTGCATTCTCGGTATTTGTAAGTGCAAAAATCGGTATATAAAAATACAGCAAGCTGCAAATACGTTAAGCAACATATACGGTGAGTTGTAAATACGGTAAACTACAAATACGGTAAATTGTTTGCAAATACGGTAGACTACAAATACAGTTAGGCAACATATACGGTAAGGTGAAAATACAGTAAGTTGTTTGCAAATACGGTAGGCTACAAATACTATAAGCCGCAAATACGGTAAGCTGCATATATAGATTTATAATTTGTTATAAATGTATAAAATTTATTTAATATTGAATTTCTTAAATATTAAATGTTGTTGTTTCATTGTATATACGAAAAATTTATAATCTTGAAATTCGACTTGTAATTAAGGAATTTGAAAACAACTCTCTACACTGTACGAAAAGTTGATTTCTCATATCTTCGCACTGTACGGAGAGTTTTCTTTTTTTTACTTCTCATTGTACGAAGAGTTTGCCAACTCTCCACACATGGTTCAACTCTCTCCGCACTATGCGGAGAGGTTTTTTTCTCTCAACACTTTTTTTTTACTCCGCACATGGTTCAACTCTCTACGTATTGTATGGAAAGTTTTTTTCTCTCCCCACTGTACGGAGAGGTTTTTTTTTTGCTCTTCGTACTGTGCGGAAAGTTGGTTTGTCATCTCTTCGCACCTTTTTTTATTTTTTATTTTTACTCCGCACTTGATTCAACTCTCTCCACACTGTGCGGAGAGTTTTTTTTTTCAATTTTATAATATTGAATTACACAAAATTTAGAAATATAATCTTCACATTCAATTCAATCATATCAATACTACCAAAGAATACAAGCAAAATAGTTTGTATATTTCTTATTCAAGCATGAAATATACAAGTATATATTTTTAGATAACATACTACTATATAATTGTAAAAATAATTTGTAATTATTTTCTTATATCATGAAAATATTTTTAAATATTGTTTCAAAAACTTTTCAAAAAAGTTAAAATTCATACACTAATAAAATTACGATAAATACAAAATTTGTGTAATGCATGTGATAGCGACTAGTAATATCATTTTAATGAAAAGCGTGTGATTGGAAAAAAAAAATTAGAAAAATGTGTTTCGAAGAAAATGGGAATCAAACAAATCATCAAGTTATTCACTTAGAGAAGGCACACAGACACGTGCCTTGTAATGGTGAAATTCCCATCCAATATATCCCACATCGAATTCTAAGGATGCATGAGAGAGAGCTGCGTATAATAAAATAATTGGGCCCTGACTGGAACAAGGATACCTTTCTCGGCCTTTTGGCTAAGATCAAGTGTAGTATCTGTTCTTATCAGTTTAATATCTGATATGTGGGCCATTGGCTCACACGATATTAAATTAATTTTTTAAGGGGGAAGGCTCACGAAGGTAGCTTGCTGCCTGGGCCTTCAAGCGTCGCCCATGCGTTGCACTATTGCACGGGCCTGGCGCACCCCACCAAATCTAGTACAAGTTTTATTATGGTCCTTCTGGGCTGAGACCAGTGGGCTCGTAATGTTTACGTATCAGTAAAAAATGTATTATTATTAATCTTTTTATGAAAATTTTTATTTTACACTAAATTGTGTACTTACCATTATTTGCTCATATTTGAGTTATGTTTTAGGAAGAAAATGTATTATTAATGTTGGAAAATGTGTTACTAAAAAATAAGAAAAAATTTTAGATTTTGATATAATATTTATATTATTGAAAAATGTATTGTTAAAAGAAATAAATCATTTGTATCGAGGGGGGTGTACTGAACCCCCTCACAAACATGTGGGTCCGATGTGTTATTTAATAATTCGAATCGAGGTCCCACCCAAATGATGTGAGTAGTAGGTAAACGGTTATGTAAATCATTATGTACGTATAGCACGGTCCGAAGATTTGTTAACTGTGAAATAGTGTAAAATTATTACATCAAAACTTTAATTAAAAAAGAAATTCCTTTTTAGATGAATATTAAAAATTATTAATTTTTTTGTAAAATTTTTATTCATTGAACTCCTAATTTTGCTATCAAATATGATTCTCCGAGATCCTTTGATGGATCAAGAAAATGTATTTTTTATTTTCCCACCAACGGATGCAAGTTGATTTTAGTTAAATATGAACCGACCATTTTACATAGTATATTGTTTTGATTTTCAAGTAAGATTTCAAATTAAAATGTTCACCCTAATGTATACCGACACTTTTAAAGATATGAAAATCTTATAAAATGTTAAGCTTTCCTCCTAAGTTTGCATACATTGCCATAAATTTTCTAATTAGATTTCAACAATTTAATCCGTTCAAACATACCATAATAAAACACACTTTACGTACCATATTCTAAAAGGTTTAGCTATATGGTATTAAAAAAATATATAAATTTGTCATTAAAAAGAGTTAAATGGACAAAAATATTCGTAGTTGAAAAATAACAAATATCACCATTTGTATTACACTATATAAACACTTTACTTATAAATTTTTAATTGTTTTTTGCTATACAAAAGTTCAATTACAATTTCATAATTTTTTTGGCATTCATCCATCAGTTCATAAATTAACATCCAGTCGAATCCTTTCCACTATATTCACACATCATATTTTTTATTAATTATATTTATATAGTATTCTCGTATATGAAGCTCTCATTGAAAAGAAAATCATCCACTATATACTTAATAATTTCAAATTACAAAATTATTCCAACTTAAAATCAACAAATGAATTTTAACTAAAAAATAATAAGTGATATAAAATATTATTTTAATTAATTGTTTTTCAAATGAAAGCAATTTCAATTTTTTTATAAAATTTTTATCAACTTATTCAAGTTATTCACTTAAAAAGTTACAAAGACAGGTGCCAGGGTTTATTAATGGTGAAGTTCCCATCCAATATATCCCACATCGAATTCTAAGGAAACATGAGACAAGCTGCGTAGTATAAACGAATCGGGCCCTGACTGAATTAAGCATACCTTTCTCGGCCTTTTGGCTAAGATCAAGTGTAGTATCTGTTCTTATCAGTTTAATATCTGATATGTGGGCCATTGGCCCACACGATATTAAATTAATTTTTTAAGGGGGAAGGCCCATAAAGGTAGCTTGCTGCCTGGGCCTTCGAGCGTCGCCCATGCGTTGCACTATTGCACGGGCCTGGCGCACCCCACCAAATCTAGTCCACAAATCTTTTGATGGGCCTTTTGAATAAGCATGTTCGGTTAATCTTAACATCAATTATAATTAAACGAGTAAGGTTTAATTAAAAACACATTTTATTATTTATTGGTCAAAGTAGGAAATAAAAAAGTTGCCAATTAGTTAAAGACGAGAATTTATTTTATTTTTATATAAAAGTTGGCAAAAATCAATATTTCCGAACACGGTTTGTAAACAAAAGGTGAGTTGAAAAGTAACTTTTTACATTTTTTTTAAAGCTTAAACCGAACATGTTTAATATTTACCTTCAAGCTCAACATCATTCTCGTGTGCAGGTTCTAACATCGATGTGCCAACAGGGACCTTGGTATGCTTCTCTTCTCCATCCTTGTCTACAAATGTTACTGATATTCTGCAGTCTAACAGGAAAGCAAGTAAAGAACAGTTGGAAAATCTGATCCTCTTATGCGTTTGCTCCATCCATACCTCAAGATTCAAAAATATACTGACCTAACTACATTGACTTGCAAGTGGTTTCAACACACACTGATAGAATAGCTATTGACGGTTTGGTTTTACCCTTGGTTATTTCCCTCAGCGCTACAACTCTATCTGGGTTTTATCCCTTTTTTTAACAATGGCTATGCCAAGTACATACCCTATGAACCCTTTTTCAGAACTTAACTATCCAATGGGAAGAAAGAAAAGCTGAAAAAATAAGAGAAGTGCTACAGGTACAGCTTAATCACGTGGAAGAATATATCAGGATCGAAGCATATCTTCTCTGTCATGTCATTTTGGCAATACGATTCCTGCAACTAAAACATAATATTAGAGTTTTAAAGATCAAAATGATTTCTGCAACTAATTAGAATAATTTGAGTTTTGAAGATATACTAACCAGGGATTGCAAATAATGATTATGAACCAGAGGCAGGTATGATGTCCCTGGCGAAAAGGATGGAGCTGCAACACAATAGAAAGCAATAAAAACAGGTGATGGAATAAAGTTTCCTCAAATAAAAAGTTCAGCTATATGATTGCAAATATCATGAATAGGTCTTGCTTTTCTGCAGAGAGGTCGTGAGAAAATCAGTTTTCACATTTTTGCCATCGTTAGGAATGTTACAAGAAATAATTATCTGACCGGATGCCAGGAAAGCATATTTCTCCCTAAAGTTTCTCCCCTTTTTTCTCACTGCCAGTGTCTCCATTGTATCATTCATTAAGAGAAACCCAACACATCTAAACACATGAAGTCCAGCAACGTGACTAGTGCCATTCAGAGTCAGATGGATTTTCCGTCACATATGAGTTCGATCAATAGAGGAAGATTTGAGACTGCTAATTATGCATCTATGAGTGACATGGAGAAGTAGAGTAGGAGAGTTCTATTGGAAAGAAGCTGCAGAACAGAAACTAAATGCAGATTTTTCTAATGCATTTTACTATCAGGAATTGGGATGGGGTAGCAAACATTTTCCAGAGAGTTTTTGGTCTGTTGAATGTATGCACCATAGAGTTCTTTAAACACGTGCTTGCAGCCGCCCAGTTCCCACTTGATTCAGTTTATTATAATTACCAAATACCAATAAACAAACAAATAAATAACCACCCGATCTTTACCAAAAATCGTCAGTTGGTTATTCGAGAGACAAAAACTAGTTATAAAATTTCCCAGTATTACTCGTATAAGGATAAATATAGATCCTACACAGATAAGATGAGGCTTATATCATTTATCAGCTCTCGTCCCCTACTAATTTTTGTAAATAATGAACATGAACTAAGACAAGTTAAAGAGGGTGGAGAAATCCAGCTTTACTTGAAATATGGATTTGAGTCTTGGGTAAGTGCAAGTGTACAAGCAGTCTTCTACCCTGTACTCTTGAAGGCATAACCTGCGATTTACCTCCCTCACGATGCTCCAGAGCAGGGGTAGTAGGGGACCCTTAAGGTTAGGGTTTAACCTTTTTGAAAGTACTCCTTTGTATCTGTCGCTTAGGTCGGGACTGAATTCCTTGCTAGTGTAGCCTCATTGCACAACTTTCTAAATATAACATAGAATTTTACATGATATAGACATTTCTAATTCTCAATTAGTAAACAAGAATTTATACCAAAAATATAAAGAGCATACCTTTTACCAGACTCTTGATTGCAAGAGCTCCTAGCCAAGAAAATTCAGAAATGAACATAACCTTCCCAATCCGCAGCCTCAACATGCCAAAATTGGTGGAGGGGTTGCTAATGAGTAAGGCAGAATAAGCCACCTTAGTCGAGCATTAAGTGTTCAAACTCTACTCCGCAATTTTTCTGTCCACATTTAACCTCATGAATCATTTTACGCGCAATATTCACAGAGAAACCCCATTCTATTTTACATAATTACAATGGTATATCTTATATTTTCAAGCTCATGGGAGCTAAAAACTTGTACCGAGTATCAAACGAGAATTTGCAAGGGTTTACCAAAATTACCATTTCAGAAACTCATATCACGAGCTAAAAATGGGCTAAATTTATTCAAAAACACTTAAAACTCGAGCTCAATTCTTTATCTAAATAAATGAACCAAATTAAACAAAGGCTTTTGAAGAGTTAATTGTTCCAATGGTCACTGACTTATATCTGTGTCTTCGATTGCTTACTAAAATTTAAAATATTGAATTTTGACCACTGAAATTTGAAAAACGTACGTTATTAACTGACATAACTTCTGTTTCAAACCTCTAACGAAATTGATGACGTGACTGACGGAATGCACATGTGACACCCCGTCACACCATTAAACTTTGAAATAGTCGAATTTTAGCCACTAAACTTTGAAAAAAGTCTTCTATTGCTCACTAAACTTTGAGATCGAATTTTGGCCATCGAACTTTGATGTAGTCAAACTTTGGCCACTAAAATTTAAAAAATGTCTTCTATTGCTTACTACAAATTTGGATTTAAGTAAACATTTGTTTATCTCCCTTTATGACAAAATTCTTCAATTTTCATACTCATTTTTAACCACATATTTATACAATAAAATAGTTTACACTTAATCTCAAAAAAATTTCAAAATTTTTAACTATATATTCTCCAAAAATCACTATTTTAAATTCTTTTTTTTTTTTTTTAAGATAATGGCCGGGCTAAAATTCGAATTTAATTTAATTTTAACAATAAATATGTTGTGTGTTTCATTGCAATTAGCAATCACCTCCTTTGCAAGCATTGTTCATATCGCTAGGAATAATTACTCAGTTACACGGTAGTTAAGTTTAATTTTAATTTATCTTTGTAGGATTTTAACCTATCATCATCAAAATATTTGAATTTTACAACAAAACACGCAATGAATTTTTTGTTAAATAAAATTAAACCTAAATCTTAACAATGAATTTTAATTAAAGCCAAATTTATTGTGAGTAAGAGAAGAAGTTTTGCAAAATTGGAACTTACACAATATGCTTATTGTTAAGATTTTTGAATTTTAACAATGAATTTTAGCCCATGTTTCATGGCCATTATTTTTTTTTTAAGTTTTAAATAGTGATTTTTTAGAGAATGTATGGTTAAAAAAGTTTGAAAAAAAATTTATGTTTACATATAAAATATTTTATTGTATAAATGTATAGTTAAAAATGAGTATGAAAATTTAAAAAGTTTTGTTTTAAAAGGAGATAAACAAATGTTTAATTAAATCCAGATTTATAATGAGCAATAGAAGATTTATTTTTTATTTTTTATTTTTTTTTAAATTTAGTGGCCACGGTTCGACTATATCAAAGTGCAATGACCAAAATTCAACAAACACAAAGTTTAGTAAGCACTAAAAGACATTTTTCAAAATTTAGTGCCAAAAATTCGAATATCATAAAGTTTAACAGTGTGACGGGGCACCAGAGCCCATATAAGTTTTTAAAAATAAAATTGTTGAATTTTGGCCCAAATACTAGCATTATCCCAACTCTAGTTTAAATATGGGAAAAATTCATATGTAAGGTGTATGGTTTACACCAATTCACAAATCAGGTACAATATTTAAAAATTCAAAATTCAGGTTTCTGTATAATTAATTGAAAAATTTTATTAATTAAATATAAAAAGGTCACAGTTACACGATTAATGGTCACAGATTCACAATTATGGGTAACAGATTTATTTACTGGTCACATATCATTAAATCAATTGATCAAGAATTTTTTCGAGGTCACAAATTAAAATTTTTATAAGTTACATATTATTTTGACGTCACAAATCAAAATGTTTATATGTCACAGATTATTTATTAGTTATAGATTATCAAATTTTAAGGTCACAGACCAAATCGTTGACGTCATGATTATTTTTTGATCACAGATTATCAAATTTTAAAGTCACGGACCAAATTTTAAGGTCACGGACCACCACCAACAAAAATACACACCGACAATCAACCCAAACCATCAACTTGCACCCCCACAAGTACCACCTCTGCCACACACCACACTACATTCACAGCGCACCACCACCGCTAGCAAACACCACCAACAGCAATAACACCGCCACCCTCGTCGCATCACTAATTTTTGGTCACATACACCTAATTTATTTGTCACAGGTGCCTAAATAGTTGGTTACAGACACCTAATTGTTGGTCACAGACAACCCACTCGTCACTGCCACCACAATCACCACCAACATCAACAACAACACAACAATAGTTGGACACCATCGCCTCCAGAACTATCATCACCTCACCAACATGAGCACCATCGTCTCCAGCCACCACCGTACCCATAACACCACCAAACCACCACGCCCACAAACACACCACCATCGCACACCACACCACTCACAGCACACCACCACCACCATCTCCTCTATCTCCATTTACACCACACACCACCCCCACCCCCACCAAATAATCCACAAAGTTGCCACTACCACAGCAACCACAATGCATCGCCGTCGACCACCCAGATCGAACTCGTGTCACTAGATCGCCAAATCAAACAACACCGCTACCTAGATCTACTGCACCACACCACACCACACAATACTACAACCACACCGTACCACACCTACAACGTTGACCAACAAAAGGTGAGCAAAGAAGAAAAGCGCTCACATCGGTGAAACCACGAATTGGCGGCGCCGATGAAACCACAAATCGACTCTCACACCAATGAAACCACGAACAGTTGCACTGGCTATTGTAGCAATGGAGAGTCTCCCCCACCGACTGTAGCAGTGTCGATGACCTCGTAGCTGTGCTCGGAGGTGTCTCCAATAGCAAGGCTCTTCAATGGTATGGCAGCAAAAGGATTGGTTAGAGAGAGAGAGAGGCGGAAATGACAAAACAAATGATAGGGTTTGTATGTATGGGTTTAGGAAGGGTTGGATATAATATTTAATTATTAATTTCATACCAGAATTTTGATTAAAAAACTTTTACACATGATTTTTGCAAATTGAAGTTGAAACACCTGTATTTGTGTAATTTCCTCAAAATATTAACCCAAGTCCAATGCTCAATTATTCAAATTGTATTGAAGACACTACAATTATTAATTACTCTTTTCATGACATTCATGAAATATGAATATTTTATTGTCAAATTAGATATTTTATTTAATGCATGTTTGACTAAAATTTACTTATAATTATTCAATAAATTTTACTATAGATAATTTGTATTGATTAGATCTAAAAGGAAAATTTCTTATTTTAATAGTTAGAGACACTACGTATTTTTCTAAATTTAAAAGTAATTAATTATTTTATTAATGCATATCTTTTCATTTATTACTAATTCATATTTATAAAAAAAAAGTTACTTATTTTGACCATAAAATAGATGCTATGATCAAAATAAATAACTTTAAGACCCTTTTGGCTCCCATTCTTTCCAAATTTTAATGGTTGGAATAATATTTTTTTTTAAAAATGTGTAGTTGAAAAAAATGAAAAGTTTTCAATTCGCGTGTAATATTATTTTATGAAAGATTGTATGGTTGAAAATAAGATAGAGAAAAAGAATGAGAAAGAGAATGGAGGCCAAACAGGGTATTACTAAAGATTTGATATTTACAATAAAAAGAATATTTGTTAAAACTTTCAATTGTTTGAAAAGATTGATTGTCAAAATTATTAGAAGAGTACTCATTAAGTTATTTTTTAAAATTTTCATTAATGGATATGTATTTTTGCTTATTTCAATCATGATTCGGTTTGCTTATATTTTTTAAAGCAAGCGTTGATTTTCTATTTGGTAAAAAATAAAAAGATTTAGTTGAATATCTTAATGTGAGACATCTAAATTTTTTTTTCATTTCATTAAGTATCATATACTTTTTATAGTGAATGTCACAAAAATAGCATCCGAAACTTGATTTATTGTGGCATAAGTTCATTTAAAAAACTTTAAGCTCATCCTAACATCATTTTCTGACTCCACTCCTACGGGGCACCATATATGTATTTTGTCAGTCACTTCATCAATTTCATTAGAGGTTTGAGATAAAAGTTATCCCAGTGAAACGTTGAAAGTTAAGTGATCAAAAATCGACACTTTAAATTTCAGTGAACAATCGAAAATATAGGTACGAGTCCCGTGTCCATCAGAACAATTAACTCAGCTTTTGAACAGAAAAAGAAAAAAAGG